GAAATTCGCCAAATTTTGATATAAATTTCTTGTTGCGTTAATTATTTTGACCAGTGTACTATGCTACATCGAGGACCCGGGCCTGCGACTGTCATTCAGTGATTCAGGGTGCTTCCACGAGCGTTAATTCATACTATCTTAGTAGGCTTAGCATTTGTATTTAAGTAGTTAACTAAGCATAGAGACTAAACAAACGGACAATACTAGCCCCAAGACGATACTATGAGTAACTCTTTTCTTACGAAAATAACGTTTGTAAAATTATTAATGAGAGATTAATTCTCTATGAGCATTGAATGTGTGCTGTGGAAATACAGATGCTGCTGTGGAAATACATCGGCAGGACAATAAAAGGCACAACAATGCGCTTGAATATACACTTCAACAGCGCCTTTAAATCATCTTTTAGCTTTTTCTAAATTATTTTTAACGAATTCATTCTTCAAATCAGGTATACATTTCTACCGATGCAACGGCGCATTTGTATATTTTAAGTTTGTGAGAAGCCAAAATCAATTGCGGGAACAATCATAAAATTTCGCAGAAGAGAACTTGTTATAAATTTCGAAAACAACATTGAAAGGTGTTTTGTTTTGCGCACTTTTAACTGATATCAATTCGACTGATTTTAAGTTAAGAAAGATCACTCTTCTCGACACTATTTTTTTAATGGCTTTGTTAACAACACGTTAAATGTGGCATTGTTATCTCTTGAATATTTTCTTTCCCGGATGTATGTGCCAGTCTTCTTTTTGCGTTTGCGTCGAACGGGAACGAACCTTCTCCATAACCATCAATGATAAACTTCGTTTCTCTGACAGTCGTAACATGATTTGCAAACATAAGATATTGTGTGTGTGAATACAATCGCGATTATCTTTTTAACGACTATTTGATACAAGAAGCATTTGGAGTGTTATGTATTATGCGATCAGGCTTTTGCCGTTCTTTGTATATATCAATCTGTAAACTGTCATCTTTTATATCGTTGAACTTATGGTACGATGTGTAACACTCATAAGATATGTATACTTATCTAAATTATATATGTTATGCTATAAAAGCAAATATATATATTTCGTATTTTATACACCTATGGATTTTCTTCGACGTAACCCATTCATTTTTTAACAAAATTATACGCATGATTGCATGTATAAATTAATTAGCTACAACACAACAAAGATACTTTCTATTCAATTTATATTAGTCCTATCTCTCAGAATTGATAAAGAAATAAGAGGAATGACTTATTTTAAGTGAAAAAGTGAAAAAAAAATTGACAAATTAAAACAATATACATATGTATGTATTTTACAATAATCTTATGATATTTTGCAACCAGAATTTAATATTACACCTAAATATGTAATCTGTTCATGATTTTTAGAGAATTTAGAGAATAACAGTGGTATTTTAAAGAATAAATTGCAAGAAAAAAATTGGCGCATATCAAGAAGAAATCGTACATACCAACAGTAATTTATAGCGATTTCTATTATATCGTTATTATTGATACATCAGAACGCTGTAATACCAAACTGTGCTGCTTTCAACAGTTAAACGGTGTAATCAATGAGTGAGAGAGATAACCTTCACTAGGATGGCCTCTGAGCTGGTAGATGGCTCTGAAACTCGGACACGCTATTTAACATTGTGCTCTTATGGCAGCTTCCACTCTAGGGCCGGTATTCATAGTCGATTCTTATTTCAAAAGCATCTTAAGTATTGTCTTAAGTCGCTAATACAGCTCTGTGATTGGTTGAAAACACATTAAGAGCATACTTAAGATGATCTTAAATATAAGAACGGACTATGAATACCGGCCTATCTGATCCTCTTTGAGTAAAAGTAGATAAAGAACAGACCTAATATTCGTCCCACGCTGCCAAAGGCGATCAATGACACGCTGAGAATTCTTGCGTGCCATTTTAAAATAAAGAGATATTCGACTAAAATTACACTTTAGTTCGC